ATTTCAAAATTTCTGTTCTAAATGGAAATTACCGGATAGTAAAATTCATTGCAAAGAGTTGCTACTATCAGTTCAATTAGCCAAGGAAATAAAATCACAACATGATATAACTAAAATTAATTATTTTCTTATTTTTTTACAGAATAGCAATATTGTTTTGTTACTCCGTATGAATCGTTTTCTGATCACTACCTTACTGCATAATGAACCGAACTATACATGAACCTGATAGAACTTCTGATGCCAGTTTTTAACCTAACCTTCCCATTGAACCATAGTCCAGAAAACTGTAACTAGCGGGAAAAGACTGCATTTGTGGTTAATCTGATAATTTAGCAAAATATTTTCAGCAGGAAAAAATTCTTCAACGGATACTTTCACTTCCTCTTTAGCTTTTCGCAGCTTTAAAAAGTTCTAAATTGGAGAAAACTATTTTTCCGCTAGTCAAAGCACAGAAGAACAAATAGATTTAATATCCTTGCAATGAGTGACTAGTCGACTAAACATTTCAAATAAAGACTGAATAAACTAATATCGTGCTAATTAATGGAAAATAAATTCAGATTTTTGGTCTTTCTTTTCCAGATCGTTTTCGATCAAACAATTCCAATAAATTGTTTTAGAGTAATTAAAGAAGTGAATTAAAATAATAAGTAATTTAATGGGTTCGAAAGTTAACAGATTTTAAATTGGTAAACTAATTTTAGCACTTGAAATTATTATTCGTTCTTTTGAAATTGATATGATACGCAATTGGCAATGAGGTATCTATCAATTATTCCCTTTATTAAATGTTACATTGCCCGTTAAAAATTTCAATTAAAATGCTGATTTTCACGACCTAAAGTAACGCATAAGATAATGAAATGAAATATTCTATCTTCTTTTTTTCTCTAAGATTTTTCAACGATTAAAGAAAATTAGATTTTTACAAATGTCATGTAAGTTGTGAAATTATTTTGGATTGGAAACTTAAACTGTAAAGTATTATTCTTTGGTAGACAGCAAAAAATATTGCATATTTCTACAACGGCATCTTAAGCTATTTTAGATTGTCAAAATTTTAAATAAAATCAAACTAACATGTAAATAAGACACCAAACATTTCACAGCTTTACAGTCAATTACCGTGAAAATGAAAACAATCGGCTCTCTTGATGTGATTTCCGACACATTACCTGGATTATCATTAATTTTAAAACCATAAATTTCAAATATTTTTTCATTTATATGAAGCAAAAGGTTTTATGCATTTAGTTGCTGATGTTTTAACTACTTCCGTATATCCTTAATTCTATCATCGCCTTCCACCTCATCATTCAATGTTATAAAATCTGTTAGGTCCGAAAGATTGGGTTTTTTTCGAAAGGATGCTAGGTCTTCTTCAATTTCAAAATCAGTAGTATTATGAAATTGGGATATGAAGCTCAACAATGCATCAAAAACTTGAAACTGAGATTGGTTTATAGAAATGATAAGATAAGAAATATCAAAATTCAACGAAAGGTAAATCATTTACTTCCTAATTATAAAGTCTTATAAGCTAAGCTTAGCTTATCCTTTTTTGATGATGCAAGCATTAATTAAGATATTATTTCTGTATCAATTGTAAGCATTAGCATCATAAATTTAGCTTAGCAATTATACAAGTGAACTCATTGCACAACATTCAATATGAAAACTTATTTGTTTACTTTATTATTTGTGTATAAAATCACAATGTATTGGAAAAATCTAATGAAAATTCTCAATTACTTAATTTTTCTAGTAATTAGAAGAAGTAAAAAGTAAGCAACTAATAACGAAAAAAGAAAAAGAAAAGGAAGAAAAATGAGACAAACCAATAATGTGTTGTTCTGCATCAATTGATGTGCTGGCAATTAATTGAATAATATGATCCGTGAAATCCGACTTCTCACCGAAAATATACATCTTCAAATCAATATTTATTATCATCGGAATATTCCAATAAAAATGATATAAAAGAGGAGAAAGAAAGAAAGAAAGAAGGAAAGGATCTCCTTAAAATAATTCTCGTGCAAAGTCATGTCGAGAATGCAAAGCGACAATCTATGACGAGAATTTTCGAAAGCAAAAAGACGCAGAAAAAGAAGAATGAATGCAATGAGAAGAATATAGACTTAGAATGACAAATTTAGTTGTAAAGCATAAGGATTAATTGAATTTGATGGAATGCAAACCCAACCATACATAATGAGTTATCTCGCATCATTTCCATATCAATAATGACAATTAATAAAATAATTACTTCGTGACTTTATTTTAATAGGATCCCAATTTAAAAGTTCTCATATATGGGTAGTGATTTACAAAACGTCTAAAATTAAGTTATGACAGAGGATAGCTACCGGCAAGCACAAATTAATTCCGCAATATGAAGACAGCGGAAGAGATGACGATATATGCGAGTAATAAAGAACTGATAATAACTTCGTTTTAAAATGAGGCAGTAATTATATAATTTAATTGTATATGCAAATAAGTCTTAATTTTGCAACATCTCATATGTTTTATGCTAATTCTCGTACCCTCATATTACATGTAAAATTTAATGTTTCATTTTTTCACTTTAATCCAGAAATTAATCAAGTTTGATTTGTGTAAAAGATACTGCTAATGTTAACATACCTAAATGATTGATAATTCAGTAAAGTTTCCTTCGCAGGGATTTGTTGTTTTTTTTTTTTTTGAATTTTTTTCCCCCAAATTTTGTCATGATTTTTCAGCCTTAACTGAATAGTTGACATTTTAATTTAGGAGAATTTTTTAGCAGGAAAATTTTCTTAAAAAGTTTTTTTTTAAATTTAGAAGAAGTGTGCAATGACATATTTTCTAGACAAAAGTATAAAGAATTTTATTGTTCTTTCAACGAATCACAACGTTTCCACAGAAATATTATAAACTATTGTGTTCTTTATGAGATTTTCAACATACACATATATATATATATATATATATATATATAACATACACACATACACACACATGCATGCATATACACATATATATATATACATGTGTATACACAAACAGACACGCGCACACACACACACAAACACCCAAATTTATTGATGATTCCATTCCAAATTGATTATTAATTCCAGTTGATTCATTTACTTTGGCTGTTTACTTTTCCGACCATTCGTTTACTTTCAAGCTGACTGTTTGATTTAATTAGTATAATTTTGATTTTGGAAAATCTAAAAAAAAAAGGAATTAATAATTCATATCCAAGCATTGCTTACTTCGTGTTTTCTGTGACCGCTCAAAATCCCAATGACCGTTACTTGCCGTAGAAATTAATTTGAATTATTTTTTTTAAAGCACAAAATTAAGAAAACGTCAGCTCTAAAAAAAAAAGTCCACTTCAGCCGATGAAAATTCACTGCGGTTATAATATAAAAGTTCAGTTATATAATGCCATCAAAATAAAACATCCAAAAAATAATTTCAGAAATGTTACACATTTGAAAATGATGGAAATATTTAGGCCTTTTAATAGATAAAATTATTCAATGATTAATTATATATCTCTTTACAACTATTGCGAAAATATGTAATATTTTCATAATATAGAAAGATGTCAAAAAATAAAAACTATTTTTGCGTTGTCAAATATATCTCGGGATAATTAAATAAATCCATAAAAAGGGAATTTTCTGGTGCAGAAGTTGTCAAATATTAAGATTTGAAAAGTCTTATGCATTAAAAACTTTTCAACTTATTGTAAACATCTTATAATTTATCTACTTATCCTATTTCACTACAAAAAGAACTAGAATCATCGATATCAGTAATCAATATCCCATATTACGTCGTCGGCAATCAACTACTCAACTGTTCTATTTCACAACTAATCGCAACCCTGATTCAAATCAAGCAATCCCTTACAAGTGAATTAAGGAAGAATTATCTGTCTGATATAATATGACATGATATGATATGATATAATCTTTCAACTCTACCTGTAACATTCCCCGATATCTTATAATGTCTAATTAGAATATATTGTCTGTCATCCAATCAACTCCTATTATTATTATTTGGTTGCATGAAAGTTTCAGCTTTTGTGACAACAACAACAGGTTGTTCAATGTTGAGGATAAATATTATTAAGGTTCTTATCATTATATGATTGATATATTTATACTTTTAATGAAATTTCAAATCTTTCAATCATTTTAATTAGTTGGCCGGATAAAAATTGAAAAGAAATAAGACAAAGTCCGAATAAAATTCAATTTAATGAGAGAAATTATTAAAGGAAAAGTTATTATTTTGACAATACAATTAAATAATTATTCGAAAGATGGATATTGTTAACTCTTTTCTCTTTTTCCTTTCTCTCTCTCTTCTCTCTCTCTCTCCCTTTCTCTCCCTCTCTTTCTCTCTCTCCCCTTTCTCTCCCTCTCTTTCTCTCTCTCTCTCTCGTATTTCAAGATTAAGCAGTATTAAATCAATTCGATCAGTTTAATAGTTTAAAATTGTAACATTTCATTCTACTATTAAAAGAAATATATATATATATATATATATTTATCATAATTACACTATTATGACCATTCATCATTCATACATTCATTACATAGAACTTACACCGCGGGGAAAAATGACTGAGAGACTGCGGGGAAAATATAGAATGATAGAGAGATTGCAGGGGAAAATGATAAAGAAAACTGTGGGGGGGGGGGGGGAGGAAAAATGATAGAAAGATTGCGGGAGGAAAATGATAAGGTTTATTTGAAGCCAAATTTTTGATGAAATAATTTCGATAAGTTATACGAAAAATAGAAATAATTGGGTTTGAAAAACATTCAATAAAGGTATAATAAATTAAATATTATCTGGAAAAATTTTCAATGATATGATTAGGATAAATTAGATTGAATCAAAGTTTTCAAATATTGTTTAGATGGATTAAGCCAAGTTAGGCTGAATAAATTTTGAAATGAAATGATGGAAGAGGAATAAAAAAAAAAAAAAAAAAAGGAGAAATAAGGAAAGAAATAGGAAAAGAAAAGTTCGGTAAAAAAGAACTCTCTTCGATTATAATGAAAAATGTGAATAAATTAAATGGAAAGAAAAGTGCAAAATATTGAATAAAAAATTGGTGGAAGAGAAAAACGGAGAATGGAAGAGAAAAACGGAGAATGGAAGAGAAAAACGGAAAATGGAAAAGGAAAAAGGTAAGATGAAAAAGGAAAACGGAAAATGGAAAAGGAAAACGGAAAATGGAAGGGAAAAACTAAAAAGTTTGTATCGATATAGTGATGAATTGAAGAATTATGAATGTAAACTAATTTCATCCGATCGATAAATTTAATAGAAACAAAGTTTAACATAAAAATTTATTAAATTTAAGATAGAAAAATGTATTAGGATAAAGTGAACAATATTTCTATATCTTCTGACGGAAACAGAATAATGAAGTAATGTCAATTCCGATGAAATCTGATGGAAACTGAACGGTGATTCATCGAGAAGTAATGCCAATTCTGATGATATCTAATAGAAACCGAACGATGAATCCAAAAAGTAATGCCAATTCTGATGAAATCTGATGGAAGCGGAATGATGAATCCCAAAAGCAATTCAAATTCCGGTAAAATTTAATGAAAACGGAAATGATGAATCACAAACTGATAGAAACACAACGATAAATCCCAAAAGCAATTCCAGTTCCGACGAAATCTGATGGAAATCGGAACGATGAATTCTGTCTCCTTAAGAAAAAAAAAAAAAAAAAAGAAAAAAAAATGTCATTTCTGATAACTTCTGACGGAAGAGGAAAATGAATTTCAAAAGAAATATCCATTACTGCTAAATATTAGCATTACTAACAGATTCGTGTCAATTAAAGTTGTCAAATTTAAAATAATGATATTTTAAAAATGAAAATCTTTGATCTTTCCCGCACCCAATTGCTGTTCTTTAATCTGCTAGATGAAATTAATTTTGGAAAAAAAAAACTTCATAGAAGATTTTAGCTCATTTAATGAATTTTATTCAATAATTCTTTAGCAAATCTTTTTTTTTTTTTTTTAAGAAAAAATAAAAGAGAAAGTTAAGAATTGATTTTAATATTTTATCACACTAATACTTAGCTATAGAAAACAGGAAACGATTAGTTTGAGGGAAAAGCAACGAAATTGATGGTACTATTTCATCAATAAAGTTAATCCGGAATCTTAAATACGGAAAAAATTAGAAAAAGTAATACTTTTTGAAAAATGTTACAAATGAAGCAAAGTTAATTATACATTATTCTTACATTTTTTCTTCTTTTTTTTTTTGCAGCATATCTTCTCTTTTCAAATATTATTTGCATACTTTATTAAGGAAAGAAGGGAAAAAAAGCGAAGGAAATATTAGAAAACTAATGAAAGTTCAAATTTTTTTGCAGCATAAATAATTAAAATGGACGGATACAAATAAAAAAAAATAAAAACTAAAAATAAAAAAGTAAAAAAAAACCGGATGAATTCATCATTTTTTTTTTTTTTCAGAATGTCAACCTGATTTATCAAATATGCAATATTCGTTTAGAAACAAAATAAGCAAAAAAAAAAAATATTATTTTTCATCTATAATGAAAATGTTACACGTAACTAAAAATAATCAACGTGAATTACGACGTATCAGAATTGAATGTGAATTACGACGGATCAGAATTGAACGTGAAATATGACGCATCATCATTAAAACTGGAATATCATGATAATGTTACATTTAGCTAAAAATATTCAAAATGAATTATATAGCATTATGAAAATCTGATACCACACGTAACGTGAATTGTTACGTTGCCTTCTCTCATACGTGTTTTTGTGATATGTGACATATGGCAAAGATGGTTATAATCATTCATATGGTATGAAAAAATTTATTGTTACTGATAAAGAAAAAGAAAAAA